CATGGCAAGTGTAGGTTCCTTCCACACCTCAGAAGCTCAGGCCATTTCGGTCTCAGGTAATATCAGACAGTGACAGAGACGATCCATTTGTAATGAATGAGTGGCAAATAGGCTGTCATATTGGGATCTCTTGATTGAGGGAGTGTGAAATAAAGAGGCCTGTAGTAGTGCTTCTTAAACTGCTAGCTGTGTGTCAGAATCACATGGAGTGCTTTGGAAAAACGTCTGCACCCAGACCAAAATTCAGCATACTCATCCTATAGTCAGCCCTGCGGAACCCCTAAATGCAAAAATTTGGCCCTCCACATATATGTGGTTTCTTATCCTGCAAATACTGTATTTTTAATCTGTGTTTGGTTGTAGATGCAGAACCTACCGATACGGAGGCCTGAATGCATTTATTGAAAAAACCCACATATAAATGGAACCAAGTAGTTCAAACCCGTGTTGTTCAAAGGTCAACTATATTACACTAAATAGCAATTTGGGTTCACTTCTGCAAATAGAAGCTGGTGGTTTGGACTAGTTATCCCTCTAAGAACAACTAGAAAAGCTGGACAAAATATCAAAATATTTGAGTATACCTGAGAGCTCCCAAAGCAGTAAGGATTTAGGGGGCCAAGAGCTGTAAGAAGAGTGAAGCTCAGGTAAGAATGGCATTTGGACTTGCATGTTTGTCAATTCCAAATCAGCAGGAGAATTCAAAAAGCCCTGTGTTGCTTTTAGCAAACTTATAGGGCTATGGAAACAAAACTGAAATTCAGGACCCACAGAAGAAAGGCCCCAGAATACCCTTCGGACTTGGGTTGGGACCCCAAAGATTTATAGTTCGTAACCTATTTAATGGAGAGCAATAAATAGACAAGCCCTCAAAAGAACAGAAGTCTAGTGTTGAATGATCTCTACCCGATCTAGGACTGCAAATGCCCCTAGCCTAGTCATTTGCCAAAAACCAGGACAAATTTTCTCTGGAAAAGAAACCGTCTAGAACTTCAAATATCTATACTTTTACAATGGCATTGTCCCATTCTTGATAAAAAATAACCAGGCATGTGAGGAGATAATACAATAAGCTTCTAAACAACAATAAAAAAAGGTAACAGACAGAGACCCACAGGGGACTACATAAAATAGCAATGCTTGGTATGTCCAGAGAATTAAACAGCAATTTACAACATCTGTTATATTTCTTCATTTTTGCATACATTAATTGAGTTCTTATATTTTTAAATATAGCAAGGAATTAATATGTTTTGCTATTTTAAAGAGTTATATTTGGGGTTTTTTTGTTTTTTTTTTAGATAGAGTCTTGCTGTGTTGCCCAGGCTAGAGTGCAGTGGTGTGATCATAGCTCTCTGTAGCCTCAAACTTGTGGGCTCAAGCAATCCTCCTGCCTTAGTCTCACAAGTAGCTGGAACTATAAGTGTGCACCACCACGTCTGGCTAATTTTTTTTAAAAAATTGTTTTCAGTAGAGACAGAATCTTACTGTGTTGGCCAAGTTTGTCTCAAACTCCTGGGCTCAAGCAATCCTCCCATCTCATCCTCCCAAAGTGCTGGGATTACAGGCATGAGCCACAGCCGCCCAGCCAAGTGTTCTATTTTATTAAACAAAAATTATACAGGGAGTGTTAAAACTGTGAGTGTTACTAGGAACTGTATCTTTCGGTTGAATTCACCAATATCTAAGGAAGTTTGTTTCAGTCTGAGGAATAGTACAAAACTGCTGCATGAGGAAAGCTACTGAGAGACAGTAAGGTAGTAGATAGGAGTGGTCTTAGATGCAGATGCCATAGTTCAGATAGGCTGCTGCTTGGACTTAGATACATATTCAAGATCATCATCTCAATTATTTCAAACAAATTTTATTTCCTTTGGCTAGAGTTATATCCTTTTTTTTTATTTTTTAATTTAATTTAATTTTATTTTATTTTTTGAGACGGAGTCTTGCTCTGTCACCCAGGCTGGAGTGCAGTGGCCGGATCTCAGCTCACTGCAAGCTCTGCCTCCCGGGTTCACGCCATTCTCCTGCCTCAGCCTCCCGAGTAGCTGGGACTACAGGCGTCAGCCACCACGCCCGGCTAGTTTTTTGTATTGAGACAGGGTTTCACCGTGTTAGCCAGGATGGTCTCGATCTCCTGACCACGTGATCCGCCCATCTCCCAAAGTGCTGGGATTACAGGCTTGAGCCACTGCGCCCAGCCAAGAGTTATATCCTAATTCTTGTGTAAATTCTTGAACGTTTTATGTTCTTTTTTTTTTTTTTTTTTTTTTTTTGCTGGTGTTGGACACATGGTTTTTGCTTGTGTTAGACATACGGATATTGATCAAACTGAACTTACTTGGTCTTTGGATCTTAGAAATTTGTGCCTCTTTGCTTTTTATACTTAAGACTCTGGCTTTGCTGCTAGCCCCAAACATCCCAGTCATCCAGGTTACACTTAAAAGGAGTGTTGCTCAGTTATTGATGGGTTATATTGTCACTAACACAAGATCAATGATGCCTGTATAAGCTATTTAGAAAATAATCTTATCAGGCAGGAAAGGGATAGCAACAATATCATCCTGGGAAATACTGCCATAAAACATTGCATGTTACCTTTAAATGTGCCTAATGAGTCATTAGCCATATACTATACTGCTACACAAAGGCATATATGTAATATGTAAATATAAAATGCAAAAATCATGACATACATTTTCCCCTCTCCACATTCTCACCTTCCATTTTATGCAATGTTTTTCTGTGTATTTCTAAAATATTCCATTTCACTATGGATAGTTCTATAAATTATTTGGAAGCAGAATTATTGGCTGTGTCTACATAAAAAATAAAGTAGTAATGTAAGAAGTTTGTGATAAAGCTAAATTATATAAACTACCGATATGTATTTACTTGTGCTAGAAACAAACTCCTTTGTCTTATCTTAGAGTTCTACATGGAAACATGTTCTGATATCCTGGTAAATCAAGAATAACAAAAATCTGAGTGAGTTGTATTTTGTGCCATAATCAGAATACTTGATTCTGATTATGAAAATGACAGATATTAGCTACACAAATAACGTTTTTTAACTTAAGATTCAGACTTGCTTGTCCAACTTTCTTCCAGATATCTCTACCTGAATTTCCCATGGGCATCTAAAACCTAACATCTACAAAATAAATCCCAGCCCTTCTCACTTTGATCCTCTTGTCCACCCCAATCTCCTTTTCCTCACTTGGTCTCTGCCTAAGTACAAAGCACTACAATGCACCTAGTTACCAAGCCCCAAAGCTTGCAGTCATCCTATTGAATGGGGTACAGTAGTGATGAAGAACGCAGGCTCTGAAATCAGACTTCTAAGGTTCAAATCCAGCCTTGCAACTTGTTAGCTGTGTGACCTTGAGCAAATTGTTTAACCTCACCCAGACTTAGTTTTTTCATCTGTAAAACTGCACTAAAACATCAGGCTAAAAATGTTTGTTTCACTCTGAGCAATAATACAAAACTGCTGCATGAGGAAAGGTACTTGGAGACAATCAGGTAGTAGGTCTTAATCAGAACACTTACATGAAAATGTAAGTAAGTAGGAGTAGTCTTAGATGCAAATGTCATGGTCTGTTTATTCGTTTTTTGAGATAGTCTTGCTCTATTGCCCAAGCTGGAGTGCAGTGGCGTGATCTCAGCTCACAGCAACCTCTGCCTCCCGAGTTCAAGCAATTCTCGTGCCTCAGCTTCCCAAGTAGCTGGGACTACAGGCATGTACCACCAAGCCCAGCTAATTTTTTTAAAATGTATTTTAGTAGGGATGGGGTTTCACCATGTTGCCCAGGCTGGTCTCAAACTCCTGACCTCAGGCTATCCACCTACCTCGGCCTCCCAATGTGTTAGGATTACAGGCATGAGCCACCGTGCCCAGCCCACAAATGTCACAGTGCTCATGTAGGCTGCTTAGTGTATAGTGTCATAGCTGCTGCCTAACTAAACTATGTGTGAAAATCAAGGTCACATAGCTAACAAATGGCAAGGCTGGATTTAAACCTTAGCAGTCTGATTTCAGAGCCTGTGCTCTTCATCACTACTGTACCCCATTCAAAAGGATGACTGTGAGCTTTTGGGCTTGGTGACTGGGTGCACTGTAGTGCTTTGTACTTAGGCAGAGAACAAGTGAGGAAAACTTGTTACCCAGAATAAATGAGATAAGGACAGTATCCACGCTATCACCAATGTCCAATTAAATGTAGTTCTATTGATTCCACATCTTAGTATTTCTTTTTTCTGAACTCTCCTTTACAATTCTGATGTGTTTGGAAAAATTTTATAGTATTATGCATGCACTAAATGCCAGTGAAAGACCAATGACATATTTAGGCTATCCCTTTTAAGTGCGCAGAGAAATTGCCTTACTTGGCTTTCTAGGCAGACTTTTTCTTAAGCATATCAGTTAAAGTTTGCATTAAATCCTGACATTAATTTGGGGCAACATAATTGAGCTCAAGAAAATTCAGAATTGTAATTACCATCTATACTAGTAAAATATTATACATAATAAATATTTTATAAACTAGGAATATTCAGAAAGCTAATCTAGTATATTTTAACTCATAACCCTTATAAAATATGCCATACAACTTTCATTTAATATACATTGCATAATCTAAGACAAATATAAAGTAATGTTTTAAAACTCTGAACTGGGCCAAGTGTGGTGGCTTATGCCTGTAATACCAGTACTTTGGGAAGCCCAAGTGGGTGGATCTCTTGAGGTCAGAAGTTTAAGACCAGCCTGGGCAACATGGGAAAACCCCATCTCTATTAGAAATATAAAAAATTAGCCAGGCATGGTGGTGCACAACTGTAGTCCCAGCTACTCGGGAGGCCAAGGTGGGAAGTTGAGGCTGCAGTGAGCCATGTTTGCACCACTGCACTCTAGCCTAGGCAATGAGTGAGTCCGTGTTTCAAAAACAAACAAAGAAACAAATTCTGAACTGAAAATTTAAGGTGGTTATGATAGTTACATTTTTGATTTTGTAATGCTGCATGACTTGTCTTCTTTGATCTTTGATATTGCCTTAGATGCGGATGTAGCAATAGCCTCTTCAAATTCCAACTGAAAATCAAATGTCAGGGGTATAGCCATAGTTGTTTTTCTTCCTTCACTCTGAAGCCTGTTTATCTGCAGCAAAGCCAAAGTGGAAAAAAAAAAATGAGTACTTTTTATATGGGGAAAATCTTAGGTGGAGAGAAAAAAAAAAATCTCACTTTAGACACACACACACACACACACACACACACACAGAGAGAGAGAGAATTTAGGTGGCAGGCAATAATGGAAAAATAGTACAGATTGAAAATTGGGGGTCTAGTGCACCAACTGTTTTTATGCCTTTGCTGTGTGACCTGAGCCGTTCTTTCCCCATCTGTAAAATGTGGGGGTAGGACTAGAGGATTATTAAGGCTCCCTCCTAATTCTAAAATACAGAATTTAAGGAAGAACCTAGATATTTAGATGCAGAGAGTTCTTGGAACCATAGTAGGCATGTGTCTCCAGCCAGCTCCTCTTCCTGTAGCCACGCACACGGTGAATCACACTGATCTCCCTCTAGTCGTGTGAGCCAGAAATAGAGTGAAGAAAGCAATCAAAAGAGGACTTTGTTAAAATCCTTATACAAATGGACTGAAAAAGAAAAAGGATCTAGCTAAAAGGTGGATAAAGGAGTCGAAAGTTTTCTCTAAAAAATTCTCTCAGAGCATAGCACAAAGGAATAAAGAGATGAAAGCCCTGAAAGCAAAGTCAAAGGATATGGGGGACTTCTGCTTCTGCCAATAGATGAAGCACTATGGGAATTAATCACCTGCTCTCAACAACTAGGAGCTCAGGCAAAATGTATGAAAACAACTACCCTCAGCTATTAGAAAACAGAGTAGGACAGATCGCTGAGAGAAGGGAAACAACTGAGGTCCACCCTCCAATAGCCCAGCTTACTTCCCGGAGGTGGTTTTGGGGCTGAGGTGCAGGGAGGAGAAACTCATTGTATTGGGGGAACTCAAACCAAATCTTGTGGCTTTGAGCTTGCTAAAGTTAAGAGAAAGTTTGTACCAGCAATCACACTCTCAGGCATTTACTTCAGAGAAATGGAAACTCATGTTCATACAAAAACCTGGATGCAAATGTCCATAGCGGCTTTATTTTATTTTTTAAGCAACTTTACTTTTACTAGTCAAATCATGAAAACAATCTAAAAGCCCTTCATTGGATGATTGGTTGAAACTTTGTACATCTATATAATGGAATACTACTCAGCAATAAAATGTTTATATTTTTATACATTACCTTTTCAGCCAGGATAGTTGCTTTTTACAAATTAGTTTATATCATATTAATGTATCATTAGTTAAAAAGTAAAATTATTCACATTTGAAATGTTAACCTGTTAATGATTAAATTGAATTGTAGCTTATACTTAACAAACCTTTGTTCTTCTGGCCAAGATTCTCTCTGCTTGCTTATCAAGGACATCTAACTTCTCTAAGATTTTTTCTGCCATTATCAATCACTAAATTCCTATTTTAAAATAAGGAGGAAGAAGAACAAATCAATTCGAATTTAAACATATAACTAGGCATAAGTTTTCAAAAGACCCACTTTTACATTACTGTTTTAGGTAAATAATTGAATTGTTTAAATCATACAGTAAATCATAGAATTGTAAATGTACCCAAGTTTTTTCAGTTGAAGGCCATATGATCAGAACTCCCAGATGTGTACAGGCCCCATGAATTTTTAAATTTATGATAAAGGTGAGGGGGAGAAAGTTCATGATTACCATAAGAACCATATGTGACTTATACTTGAAGCAAGACCATGTGGCTTGAATTATATCTATTTCCTTTTTTTTTTCTTTTTAAATTAAAAACATATCAAGCTAGGAGTAGGACTTAATTTTGGTGGTGGTGGTGTTGTTGAGACAGAGTCTTGCTCTGTCACCCAGGCTGGAGTGCAGTGGCATGATCTTGGCTCACTGCAACCTCCGCCTCCTGGGTTCAAGCAATTTTCCTGCTTAAGCCTCCTGAATAGCTGGGATTACAGGCGTGCACCACCACACCCAGCTAATTTTTGTATTTTTAGTAGAGACAGTGTTTCACCATGTTGGCCAGGCTGGTCTCAAACTCCTGACCTCAAGTGATCCGCCTGTCTCAGCCTCCCAAAGTGCTGGGATTACAGATGTGAGCCACCGTATCCGGCCAGGAGTAGGACTTTGGACATATCTATTTTCTTTCTGTCATGATATAATTTTAATCAAAGTAAATGCAAGGAACTCATATTTCTATAATTAATTACTTCAAATTAAATTGGTCAGTGATCCAAGACTGTTAACAGCATGTAGTAGGTAATTAGTCACACATAAGTAGCAACAACTAAGCTGGATAGGTCCCATTGCCATAATAGTTCATATTTCCTAGTTAATTAATATTGCTAACAGTCTCATCTGAGGTCAAGCAGTCCATATTAAGCTTAGGGAGCTGTATAAGACATCAGAACCTGGTCTAATTTATTACATCTTCAGATGAGAAAACTGAAGGCCACAAAGTACCCTATTAGTGTAGTAGAAATAGCTAGGGCAGAGTGGAGGCAAGAATCCAGGAATGTCAACCAAAAACTCCCTTTATTTATTTATTTATTTATTTATTTATTTATTTATTTAAAAAATCTGTGTAGATGGGCCAGGCACAGTGGCTCATGCTTGTAATCCCAGCACTTTGGGAGGCTGAGGCAGGCAGATCACTTGAGGTCAGGAGGTCAAGACCAGCCTGGCCAACATAGTGAAACCCTGTCTCTACTAAAAATACAAAAATTAGCCGGGCATGGTGGCACATGCTTGTAATCCCAGCGACTTGGGAGGCTGAGGAGGAGGATCACTTGAACCCAGAAGGCAGAGGTTGCAGTGAGCCGAGATGGTGTGCCACTGTGCTCCAGCCTGGCTGACAGAGTAAGACTCTGTCTCAAAAAGAAAAAAAAAGATAGTGTAGGTGACTATGCAGTCAGTATATTTTTGCTCACTGAATTAAATGTGCTCCAGGGGCATTTAAGTGTAAAAGTTATATAGTTCACAGAAAGTACAGAATCATCAATGTTTTCAATGAACATTAATGTTAATATTAAGGTTCTTTCCAGCTCACAAAAAATATGATATTTCTCCTATATTGTATATTATTCCAGCAGTGCCACATGGAGACAACAGTTCATCAAAGGAGAAAGATTCAGGATCCTATGCCAAAAGTTTACATTATTTTGTAATTGGTTTCTTTCAGCTTTTTTTTTTTTTAAACTCTTTTATCCTTCACCATACATTGCCCTGAGTATGAATTCTTCATGCACTGATAGTGACATCCCATTCCAGCATGCCCTCTATCATGTCACTACATCCAGATTTTCCCTCCATCACGTGATGTAGTCCAGTGTGACAAAGAAATTACACAGACGGCCTGGGTGTGGTGGTGCGTGCCTATAATCCCAGCTACTTGGGAGGCTGATGCAAGAGGATTGCTTGACCCTAGGAATTTGAGACCACTCTGGGCAACATAGCAAGACCTCATCTCAAAAAGAGAAAAAAAAAAGTAGCCGGGCACAGTAGCACGCATCTATAGTCCCAGCTGCTGGGGAGGCTGAGGTGGGAGGATCAAAAGGATCATTTGAGTCCAGGAGTTCGAGGCTGCAGTGACCTATGATCATGCTACTGCACTCCTGCTTTGGTGACAAACAGAGCAAGACCCCATTTCTTTAAAAAAAATGTGACACACAGGAAATTCTGGGCCATAAGGGTACAAGCAGATAGCATGCGTTGTGACAAACCACACAACCTCAGGTTGCATGCTGGGGAGATCCAGGAATGTGAAAGCTGATCATACGAAATGGGTCACTCTTGTGGTTCCTAACTAAAACACAGTGAGAAGTCAGGGTAAAAGAAAACACTCAGGGCACAGAACATTGCTCCAAAAGTGCAGTCCATCTGCAAGTCTGGCAGCTGCAATTGACTGCTGTAACCTAAACCAGTTGTATCTAATAGCTACTGAAAAGACCTGTGGCCAATTTTGCCCACAACCTTCACTTACCAATCTTGTCAGTGCCTCAAAACCTCACTAGTGCCAATTTGTAACATTTCCTGGTTTTATAAAACCTCTAACCTATTCTTTGTTCTTCAGAATATACTGAAGACTATTGCTCTGTGTGTATACCCTAATTGCAATTATTTCCTCCCAAATAAACATTTTGATTTTAGAGATTAGTCTCTATATTTTATTTGACATTGACAGGGTAAAGGCATTAGCACAATGTGAATGCTTATGACTTTCTGGGTTTCTTACAGAACAATAGGGGACAGATTTTGAAAGAGAATATAGATTATGATTATGTGGACATATTTTCTTTTCAGACCCAAGAACCATTCCTCTTGTAAAACTAAACTAAACTAAAACTCTCCAAGGAGTTTTAGCTTTTCTGTTTCCCTTAAACATAATATGAGTTCAAGTGGATGGAGAAGGCGCTCATATTCCCCACCTAAGTTTATTTTACTGGAGACAAAGATTTCTGTTTTTCAGCAAGACATAGGTAAATAACTGGAAGAATCAACGTATTGAAGTGAATGAGTTTCCCAGTTTGGGGAAGGTATAAACTACATGAGGGCCAGCTGAAACAATGCTGCTTACTTGTGAGAAAGAACAAAAAGCAGATCTTTTTAGAGTAAGGTGTCCTACACCTCTCACTTTTAATCACCCCATTTTCAACACCACATAGGACATTTTAAGAGGCAAAATGTCATCCCATTATACACACACACACATACACACGCACGCACGCACATGCACACACAGCTGTATTTTTCTATATACAGTTAACCATAACATGAAATAATTTTTATGTTTTTGCTTTAAAAATATTTTGCTAAGAGTAAATTATTTGGCTGTGAATGATTTCTGGAAAATCATTGTGCAGATCATGAATTTTTTTGAAGTGAGAAAAACCAATTATTTTCAAGGGTTAACAACAGTTTTATGAATACTAAATTTGACAGTTAATGAAATTGACTGAATGTTAGTTTTGTAGTATTAATTTCATAGCTTGAAACCAATACAATTTTTTCAGTTTGCAAATTCTTTTCTCCCATTGGTCTTTGGCAATGTGCCAATGGTGCCTAATGGATAAATGGCCCTGGGAAAAACTGGAAGTGAGGAAACACTATACATGAACTTCTTGTTTTCATCATTATATTTCATAAGCTCATCAAGGGCCTATTTTGTGTCTCCTCAAATAAATGCTGAGAGCAAAGGAACATCAGTACTAATATGATGGTGTTCCCCAACTACTTTGCATAAACTAACCACTAATCTTTTAATGCAAGATGAATCAAGATGATATTAAATGGACAGGGTGCAGTGGCTCACACCTGTAATCTCAGCACTTTGGGAGGCCGAGGCAGGTGGATCACTTGAGGTCAGGAGTTTGAGATCAGCCTGGCCAACATGGTGAAACCCTGTCTCTACTAAAAATACAAAAAGTTAGCCAGGCTAGGTGGCGAGCGCCTGTGGTCCCAGCTACTCAGGAGTCTGAGGTGGGAGAATTGCTTGAACTTGGGAGGTGGAGGTGGCAGGGAGCTGAGATCACGCCACTGCACTCCAGCCTGGGTGACAGAGCAAGACTCTGTCATATATATATACATATATTTATATATATCTATAAATATATATAAAGTGTTCCTCAGTGTGATCTATGCTTATGTCCTTTATTATATCTTTTTAATTTTAATATATACTTTGGTGTTCCTACTTTATACTTCTTTTTCTATGAACATATATTGTTATCTGATGATAAGCATTTATTTGTTCATTTGGTCACTGGCTACCTAAATGTATTACATGCAGACATTGTACTAGGTATTCTATCAAATTTACTGAGGAAGTTGGCACCTGGTAAACATTTTCCCTTGTGATCTCCATCTTCCTAGGCAAGGGAGATGCTCTCTCCTATTTCACTAAGAAAACAGACACCATCAAGCAAGAGCTTCTTCAGCTCCTACCTCTCATACCAAAGTATTATTCATTCCCAACCCTTCTGCACTTCAATTTTAACAGAGGCGTTGGCTCTCCCACCCAAAGCTAATCCCTCCTGATGTACTCTAGACTCCATTACCTCCAGTCTCCTGAAAGAATTATCTCTATTAGTTATCCCCTTTCTCCTGCAACTTTTATTTATTTCCTTCACAAATTTATTCCTCTTAGCATGCTCAAATTTATTTGCAAAACAGAAAAAAATGTCTTCTCCGGACCCTGCTAGTTATCATCTCTCTCGTCTTCTGAAGCATTCTACTTAGAGTTGGGGGAAGTGCTCTCATCTAGAATATAGGGTTCTGATGTGGTCACAGAAGCCTCACTCATAGAATCTCAGGGGTAGAATGGATCAGTGGCCTCTCACAGAATTCTTTGAACAGTGGAGCAACATTAACATCAAGAAGACAGACCTTTCTTAAGCTTGCTTTGATTTTCATTGCCATTGTCCTTCTTCAAACCTTCAGGTTGTTACTTTCCCTCCTTTGGGTTATCAAACTATACATCCCCCTAATTTGCCTACCCCAAACCTTCCTCCTCGTTCCTCAAATAGTGATTCTTTGAAATGCCATCAGGCTGGGCATGGTGGCTCACACCTGTAATCCCAGCACTTTGGGAGGCCAAGGCAGGCAGATCACCTGAGGTCAGGAGTTCGAGACTAGCCTGGCCAACATGATGAAACCCCGTCTCTATTAAAAAAAAGAAAAATACAAAGAAAGAAGAGAAAATTAGCCAGGCATGGTGGTGCATGTTTGTAATCCTAGCTACTCTGGAGGCTGAGGCAGGAGAATCACATGAACCCGGGAGGCAGAGGTTGCAGTGAGCTAAGATCACACTACTGAAC